GTTCATGGACACCGCTCAAGCTTGTGTGAACGTCATCTTAATGTTCTCAATTGCATGTTGTATTTTGAGTTGAATCTTGCGAGGATCATTGCACTCCTGACTTCTTAAAAGTTTTTTAACTTTTTTTTTTTTTTGCCAATCCCAGCAACAATTTTTTGAAGGGGGTGCACATGACCATAGCCCAAACCTGCCACCCCTTTTCGTTTTCTGGGTGCCTATTTCCCCCGTGCGCCGCACCAGTCTGGTGACTCACGCACCGTACGTGTGCAATTGCCCCCTCGGTGTGCACATGCAAGTATGATATCGGGTAGTACAAACTTCGATTTGTGAAATCCTGTCATCAAGTCAAGTTGTCTGGACTCTGGATTTGTAAAGACCTTTTTAATAGTTTTATTGATTTCTTTTCATGCCAACATTTTTTCTTTCTTAACTTAGCGTAAAGTCTATAGACGCGACTGAGGTCAGGTTCAGTCAAAAACTTAAATAGTTTACTAAGTTTAGTATGCTCTTATTTATGAATTGTTTTCACTTATTATTCAACCACAGCTTTGGGGATGATGATGTTAGGCAAGCTCAAGCTTCGGTTCCTTTTTTTTTTTTTTTTTAATAATACAGCTGTCTTCTCCTCATATATGGAGGACAAGCTGTATTTACTACCCTATTTTCTTCTCTCAATGTTGTGTCCACCTCACACGAGCTACCTACTGACCCTACATTGTTCAATTTCATTTTCTCTCTGTTTTTTTTCCTTTTTTTTTTAACCAAACTTTTAGAACTTAGGGGCTCTTTCAGATGACGAACTTCTCGAGCTTATGGAGGAGACCAGAGAGGCGCTTGATGGCGTATGGAGATTGGTTGACCAGGTTCAGATTCACCAGACCACTGCTGTTCCAGGTTTGAACCAGGATTATAAATGGGATGACCAGGATCTGGGCACCAAGGGAGGCCAGGAGGGAGGGAGGAGAATTGACATTGATGACTCTCCCAAAGGAGGCATTTATGGACAGAGGAGGATGTCCCATTTGCTATCTCGCATTGGTGCGGCTCTGAAGGACTGCCTACTGAAGAAATGCCAGCAGTTATCACTTTGGGACGTCGGCAATTTTCGAAAGGTAGCTACTAGTGATTTTTTTTTTTTTTTT